AAAAGAAGATGATTCCTACAAGGAAAGTTGGAAACCACAGGTGGTAACAAAAAATATAGTACCTTCTCTGAGGAATCAGGTAAAAAGTATTGAACAGATTATCCGGATGTTCTAATTAATCCTGAAAGGTACACGCTCTAAATAACTACCGCCAGGATCTAGATTAGGTTAGATAGTTTAAAACTAGTGGTAGGATTTCTATCCCCTAAAGATTCTACCCGATATGCAGATCCACCTCCACTAGTGGATAAATCAGTATAACTGGATAAGGCTATAGGTGGGAGTACGAGTTAACTTAAATGGACCTTGTAGTCATATAATTGGATATAAATTATTTAATAAAAATCATGTGCTATATGTATTCTTTATCTGAAAAAAAATAAAAATAAAAATAAAAATAAAAAGAATAATAAAAATAGAAATCTAATAAATAAATACTTTTATCATACTTGAACAATGAATATACCAAACTCTTTTTGTAACTTGAAGACCAATCTGCATAAAGTGGTTGCAGCATCTTTATGTATTAAAATAGTATCAACAAATCAAATTTGATTCTGCTTGTCATATATCAAGTTAATTTTGAAAATTAAGCATAACAAATCCCAATTATAACTTGAAGACAAACTTATATATCTGGCTGCAGCACCTTTATGTATTTGAATACTACATATCTTCCTAGCCTCCTCTAGATATCATTTACAAATTTATATAATTTTGAAATGAGTTTGCTATAAGCTTGGATAATTATTAATAAGTACTTAGACAAATGGACCAATTTTAAGTCTTGTATTAAACTCTTTTTAATAAAGAAAAATATAATTTAGTCTAGTAATTATAAAATTGCTATAATAAGTAAATCAATTATAATAAATAAGAGATTAACAATTGTTTTTGTTTTTTTAAAAAAAAAAATAGAAACCTAATAAAATATATATAAAATTAATCCTATAATTCAAATTAGTTAAACAAGATAAATAATAAAGATCCTATTAGTATTTTATCAGATATCAATAATTATTTACTTTTTAACTCAAGTCCTAATTGTCACATGTATATATTACATGATCTGGATAATCTATAATTAAAAAATATATACTTTTTATTTCCAAGTGCTTTAAAAAGATAAAGTTTTTGTTATTGTATTTCAAATTACTCACTTATATTATTTATATATTTTGTGTCCTTATACTACTCATTCATGTTATATGACTCCTTTTGGTTATCATATGTACTGTTACAATTTTTCAGAAAAATTAAAAAAAGAAAACATGTTTAAGAAAATTGAAAAAAGAAAAGTAGAAAGTCAAAAAAATAATAGAGAGACTGAAACTTTTTTTTTTATTTCTCTAGATTTTTAAATTTTTTAAAAGTTTTTGATAAGTATTTTTTCTTGTTAGTTTTTTTTTTAAAAAGATGTTTTTGCCATAAATTTCTTAAATAGATTTTTTTATATTTAGTTATAGAAATAAACAAGAAAAGTATTTTAAAAAGAAAAAAGTAGATAAGTAGTAATTACTACTTATTTTGTTAATTAAGAAATCAGTATTTTTTAAAAAAGTATATAGACTTTATTATTATAAAGATATAAAATATTTTGAAAACATTTGTTTTTTTGATTAATAAAAGAATTAGCAGAAAGAGTTTTTTGTTAAACCAAATATAAATATATGTATTTTTATATTATATAAAGTTAATATATATAAAAAGATATTTTTTTGACCTTAATAAAGTTTTAACTTTTATTGATATTTAAATTTAAATACTAAAGTTTACTGTTCTTTTGAAGTTATTAATAATTTTTTAAAATTTTTATATATATAATATATTGCAAAAAAAATTGTAAAATTTTTAAAATTTATTTCAAAAATATAAATTTAATTATAAGTTTATTATATTAATATTAATATTTTTTTAAAAAAAACTATTTAATTTATTAATTTGTTTTTTTATTTTACTTTTTAAAATTGTTTATTTTAAAAGCAAAATCTATATATTTAATTTTTTTTAAATAGAAAAATTAAATAAAAATAAAAATATCAAATTAAATAATAAAATAATTAATAAAGTAATTTTAAATAAAATTATTTTATACAATAAATATTAATTTAATTATATTTAAAATTATAAATATAATAATTATTTTTTTTTTCAATATATTGTATATATTAATAAAAAAATTAATTTTAATTTTTAGAACTATATTGATTTAAATAACAATTATTGATTAAATTTATTCTATTTATTATTACAATTAAAAATAAATAATTATATTTTATAACTATATCATATTATCAATATGTATTAAATATTAACAAATATTAAAAATATAATAATAATAAATATTTATTAAAAAAATATTATATATTATATTTTTATTATCAATTATAAAAATCTATTTTTTAAAAAATGTATTTATATGCAATATAATAATAAAAATTCATTGTTATTATTATATTTTATTATTTGAATCTTATCATTTGAATTATTTGAATTTAATACAAAAATATAAATAAGTTTTTTATTATTAAAAAAATATACAGTATATATTTATGTATTTATATATATAGTATATTAATGATTTGATTAAGCAATATAAAATAATAATAATAATTTTTTTTTTTTAATTTTAAATCAAATTTGTCAATAATATTATAACCATAATTTAATATTATTTTTGATATACAGTATATTAAAAAATATGTTTTATGGTTTGATATTAAATTAATTGGATATTTATGTACAGTAATTAAAAATTTGATAAAGCAATGCAATATAATAGCATAAAATATAATATTGTATATTTCGTAATCAATTTTTAAATTTTAGTATTAAAATAGAAAAAAAATTTTTTTTAAAAATATATACTGTATATACATATTTGATAATTTTTAAATTTGTAAAATATTGTATAGTTTTTTTTTAATACCTAATTTGTAATAAATTTGATGTCTTAATTTTGGATACAGAAATTTTTTTTAATAATAAAAAATCAATGAACCTTTGCAATACTTTTTTATACTGTATGTCGTAAAATTTTTTTAAAAAAACTTTTTTTATCAGAAAGAATTTAGTTGACATGTACTATAGTGAGTTGTATTCGCGTAGAATCTTTATTATACTCCTCGGTATCTTGATTCATTATCGTTATTGGCAAATCTACTGTTGGTTTGTCGAGATATATTTTTTTAATTACTGATTTACAGTATATACAGTACGATCAGATCAAAGTTTTAATTTCTGATTTGTGGTATGTGAAGCTCGAAATGATAAAAAATAATGTGTGATTAGCTTCATCTGATTAATGCACCTAAAGCAGTGACTCGAGTCTCATCATGTACATTAAAAGTCGAGTGTATATAAGGAACCTTTCCAAACCATCCAGACATTTCTTTTACCATTCAAAAACATATTTCCAGCTGACCTCACATAATGACTCATCTTGTTCGTGTATTCTTTTTCCTCATCACTTTATCTATCTTTGCTATCCATGCTACGCGTGGTTCATCATCGACTGAAACTACTATCGTCAATGATTTTAATTACAACTCGCTACTCGCAAACGATTTTCACGAACCTGGTCCCGAATCCGAAGACGTTCAATCTTATTTTGACGCAGATGCTAATTCGGACGGAGCACTTGAAGGTCAACTTAATCCTGTAGAGTTCAAACCTCATCTCGATCGTCTCGTAGAAACCTCTGACTTTTTCGGTTTAAACGAGGAGGGTCATAAAAAGTACAAGGTGCTAATGCTTTTCAAAGAAAAAGGAATTAGCTATATATTTAAGGTAATTGTTTTCCCATCAAAGAAAGGTGATGAAGTGAAAGTTTATGACGTGTATATAGATCCCTTGAAATTGAAATGTAAAGGGAAGTATTACAAGATTGTGGTGGTTCCTCGGAGTAGGCCTGAAGCGTGGAAGGAAATTAAACTGTGCATTCCACATATTCATTAATATGATCAAATCGGGTGCATTTGGTCGGATGTTGCTAAAGAGCTTCAAAGAGATGATTTGGATAGCTTATGTAGTATTTCTTTACAAATACAGTAATTAAATAAAGCAGTGTCTTTGAGTTACATATAACCGTAAAATTATTAAATGTGATACAGTAATTGATAATCGGTTATCAAAGAAAATTTTTCACGTTATTTTCATTTAACTAAAATTCATAAAGTTGCTAACGAGAGTCTACAAAAGTTGGCAATAAAAAAGATTGTGATATTATCAAATCGTATAACACTATCGTCTTACCTGCTAAATACATTTCTATGCGTTTCTCTCGAACCCTAACAATCATTTTCTGCACAAGTTTATTTGCTACTTCGAGAAGATCATGTGCACGAAGGAATTGATTCTATACGCACAGTATTTTATTGTATCAATTGATATGTATGGATATTAAGCGAAAACAATTTTATTATAATTTGTGAACAAAAAAAAAAAACCATAGATGGGTAAATAATAGATACCCAATGAAGTAAAATTTATGCGGTTTGTTACTCTGTAAATTGTAAAGTATAAATAAAGTCTTATCATACGGTACTTTAACAATCATATAAAATATATACAATTTTTTTTTCAGTCTTTAACTGTCTGATCATTAAACCTGCAACGAGGCGAGTGTAGATGATATGTTTTCATATCGCGTGTCGAACGCTGTACGAATAAAAAACGACAAAGTAAATGACAAATTTTTTGTTACAAATCATACAAGATCGATCATTGCTTTATAGTTACCTCGTTGCTCTTCTATAAATTTGTTTTTGTTTTTTTTTGCAAATAGTATCATATTAGTAATGGATGTTTAATTAAACAATAGTGAAAATAGAAAATAGTGAAGCTTACTTAAGGTTGCATTCCTTGGTGTAGGGAGATTATGAAAGGTGTATAGCTTACTCGTCTGATTTCTAAACATCTTGGGCTCATGATTTGTGAGTAAATCTTGCCCATCCTTTTTCGATGCATTTTTTACCAAGTGGCCTATTTTCATCGGTTTTAAAAACTTGTATCGAGCGGATTTTTTATACAATTTCACATACAAATCGTCAAACATATTTCTCACTGTCAATGCATTCGGTCTGTTTTTAGGATCAGCGTCCCAGCACCACTTCATTATTCGAACATATTCTTTTGGAATATTTTCATATATCCTTGGACGAATACCATTAACGATCGCCAAAGCCAAATCATTATTATAACTCATATGCACAAATGGAGTTTCCCCGGTCGCAATTTCCCACATTAAAATTCCTAAGCTGTATATATCTGACTTAAGTGTGCGTTGTTCACCACACAAGACTTCTGGAGCAATATACGGAAGATCTCCATAAATGCTATCCGGTGATTTGTCTTTTGGGCCACAAAAACCCATGTCACCGATAACCCAACTGTCAACGGTGGCATTGTACAGAATATTTCCGGGATGTAAGCCTCCATGTGCCACTCTTTTCCTATGGATTTCATAAAGGCCACCGGCTAAACATAAAACCATCCAACATTTCTGTACCCAAATTTTGATTGAGGTATTTTTTACCGAATGTTTTCTTAGGTCATTGGCGTAGGAGTATAAAACAAGCATGTAATCTTTGCCCTGTGGGTCCTTGGTTAATCCATAACAGTTGGCCAACGATCCCGCTATACCACTAAGTGTGAATTGCAATTTAACCTAATAACAAAAATTACGGGTAAATGCATTATCGTAGTACCACATGCAACATCATATTACAAGAAATATTAATAACCTCTTGAAACCAGTCTCGATCAATGTTTTCGGAATTATGTAGCTTTTTTAGCACAACTTTTTGTTGACCGATTCTTTCTAGTGTTTGTGCTTCATTGTTCCATCGATAATAACAACCATCTTTCCGAGTAGCAGTATAAATTGTAGAGCATCCACCCTCTTTCAAGTACGATATATCTTCCAACTGTTCATAGTCGATCCATTCGACAATGTGACTAGGACTAACTACCCCTTGTTGACATTCTTGAATTAATCGGTCAATCTTATGATTTCCCGAAGACCAATTTCCAAAGTTGTCCCTTAAATGTTTTCGAACACAAAATTCACAGTAATGTTTTGCACTACACTGCATATGACAATGATCACATATTCGAGTTTTGACTGATTCTTTAACTCTAAGTTGATCGTAGCGATATTGAAGCTGATGGATTAAACTCGTCCTCTCAAGCTCGTTCAGTGATGCCCCCTTTTGAAATCTTCGACAAAGAAATTCTTCTTGTTGATTCAGTCCTGGGTGAGCATTACTATCCAAAAGTGCAAACGCTTTCTTCCAGGCGGCGTTCGTTTTTTCGTTATATATAACTTCGTTATGAGGCATTTCTACTACGATTGCGATAATAAGGGTTTATTAAATCACGAATCGTGAGAGATCGATAAATACATTCGTGAGCTTTGGCGTTTTATGTTCATGCAATTACTGTACACGGAATTTTCATCAGAGATAAGTACTGTACGTACAGCACTATGGTTTTACCTAAATCTGCACTGTGTGATTTATTTGCACAAAATTACAATCAAAATTATACATATATGCTATGTTTACTTTAGAATGTAACCTTGTAAATCAAATCCATTATATACAAATGGAAATAACGGGTAATGAAATTCTGGTATGATCGTCATTATTTGTTACAAAAATAACCTTTCATTGGTATATTAGCTTATTTTAAATGAATGATTCAATGCACTGTACTGTATTTTACTGTATCTCAAAAAATCTTTTTGGAACGTGTTAAATAATATTAAACAAAGACAATGATTTATGATACTGTATCTTAAATAAATAAATGGTAACAAATTGAAATCAATGTGCCAAGATCTCAACAACGCTTGCCAATGATATCTCGCATCTCTTCCATTTCTCAAGTTCTTCGCACTTTCCGTCGATCTCCTTTACACCCTGAATCCAAATCGATAACACCGTGTCCTTTTCTACCTGAGACACGGGGACATCGTAACCCGCAACAACGAACATGTTAACATCTGCCACTCCCAAGAATGTTAGTTCCTCAGTGTTCGGTTCTTTCTTCTGAGATGAATGGATTGCGGCATATACATAGTAATATCCAAATGAGTTAACAATATCCACGTCGGACGATGAATTCTCATCGAGGCCTTCGTGCCGATTATTTGTTATTTGAACACCTAGCTCCCACTCAACCGTTCCGGAAACACGTAATAAACCTTTGATTTCTAGATTCTCGATGCGTAAATTGTGTTCGTTCCAAAATACATTTTGTATCTCTTGATCAAATAAATATTGCGGCGGCGAGGATATTGATAATTCGCCAACAAGCAGGATTGATGATAAGCCAGCTTCTGTCTCTGGTATAGGCAATTCTTCTTTGATATTTTCCGGAAACGGTTGGCGAACAATGACCACGCCTAACTCTTGTATAGATATTTCAATAGATGGATCCGCCGTAGACAATGAAAATGTGTTAGGTGGAATCTGAACTTCTGCAGTGATCCAGTCATTTTCTACGGAAACAAAGGTGGTCTCAAATTTTTGATATCGAGCAGAGGCCTCATCCCCCGTCGTACGAACTCCTTCTTCATCCTCTTCTTCGAGGGTAACAATCGAAAAATCTTGTTGGTTTTGTGATGTCGTACCAGAAAAATTGATCTTGATTTTCTCATCATCGGGTGTGCTATCCTTGCGCTTTCGATCAAGTCCCACCTTCACGTATAATCCTATCATAACATCCTGATCCTTAGGCATATAAGTGATACTCGCTCTCGTATACTTTTGTGGTGAAATAACTACATTTAAATCAAATAGTGGTATCATTGAGAAGTCTTTCCCTTTATCGGTTCCCTTGATCAGAATTGATGTACCACCAGTATAAGCTTGATCAAATGTAGGCTCCCAAGTAGTGCCGTAGGACGTCCGATAGCTCAGGAGACTGTCGTCTGAAGATAGGATATGCAGTGTAGGGTTCGTGGGATATGGTTGAATGGATTGATGACTAAGGTGATACCATTCCTGCTCCAGAACTTTCTATAAACGAAAGGAAATAGGCATTAAATCAAATGCCTGAGCGTGAATCAAATTGTTATGAAATAAAAATAATCACCTTTCCTTTTATAAAGAAATTATGTCCGCATCCGCGATCAAAGTTGCTATAAAAATTTTTAATTCCAGCAGAGTACCTGGGCGTTATATAGTGCGCAACAGCCAAACCCTTATCTGCAAAAAGATTATTCATCAATACCGCAATGTTCTTCCGGAATTCACTTATACGGCTAATGATCGAACCTTCGCTCGGATCCTCTCGTTTTGCATTATTCTCGATGGGTTCCTTTTTCTGATCTGCATTTCCTATCCAAAACTTTCGATCAATTTCCCAGAAAGTTTCTTTTCCGAAATGCTCGTAGGTCCATGCCGGTGCGAATAGCGCACAGGATGTTTTCGCTTTTTGGATCACTTGCAACGCCTGCGTTTTGTCAAAGTGTTAACGAGAAAGTGATGATCGCTGATAGTTATATTAGCCAAATAGAAGATATACGACACCTTATAAGTCGTAAGCCTGAACAATGAATGAAGAAAATTAATAAATAAATGAAAAACATATTCAGTATACATCAGGTAATAGGTTAAAAAGGTTCATTCATTCACTCACCCACCACCACCATATGTATTACGTCCCCAAACATCGATACCCGTGAAGACGCTGCGTTTCCTGGGTCCAGCCTTCTTCGAGGACGATGATGGATAATGTTCTTTCCACGTGTAATTTATGAAAATTCCATCTGTAACTTCAAAGAATGGATAGTTCATGTCGTTCAGTTGGTCTTGCCATGAAAGAGCGCCTTCTTTCGTGATTGAATCATACCTTTTACAACCGAATTGCAAAAATCTATTAAACATTACTCAAAGCGAATCTAATAGTAGCATTATTGATGAATGCCCTTGTCACAGTTGATTTCTGAAAGGACTAACCAAAGAACAACTGATCCAGGTTTGTGCTTGTGCATCTGTTGTGTAAGATATTCCATGAACTTGATTACTTGACGAGCGTGTGGAGTTCCACCGATCAGAGGCGATTCCACGTTAATAAACCATCCATCAAAATTGTAGTATAAAGCCATTTGAACTTTCATGGTAATCAGCAATGCATGCATGAGAAATAAGATCAGCATAAACTACACCAATTATATTACGAAAATGATTGATTATTTTTTTTGTCACTCACCCATCTTGTCGGCGAAGAATACACTAACCACCTCCCTATTCACATTCGTATTCTCATACAGTGGCACCCCGGAATGAGGGCCACGAACCCATAACTCATTCTCCAACATATCCCTCTCCCATTCGGTAATAAAAGTTCCAAGTATCTTCACACCATTTCGATGAGCAGCGTTAGTCCATTGTGGAGGTGGAACGGTGATTCTGTGGTGAGAGAAGCTTTTTACAAATTTGTAAAAAATAAACATCAGATCCATTTATGTAAATAGAAAGATGAAAGAGTAATGAATCGGAATTTACTAGATAAAAACATCCACGTATTGCCAATACTGGATGCTATATCCGATGTTGAAGAAATTTTCGATGTACCCTAATTCCAAGTCATGACTTTAATTGAATTCAAGAAATGTGCACAAAAAAATTATGCATTCTCCCTTTATTATACTATAAATTTCTCATACCACCCGCCATATCATGGCATACCACCACCTTGCACTCTCTTTTATCTACTTTATCTTGCGAAACGCCTTCGGTTCGAAATACAGGCCTCTCTTTCAAATTCACCTTGGCAACGTTAAATTCATCTTCAGGCTTCCATTTTGCTACATCGGATAAGTTGGTCCAGTATGGAGGTTTGGATTTGGTGGGAACGCTTTGGTCTACAATTGTGTGATAATATAATTTTTTCATGATCGGGGATAAAAAAAGGTCACATCAATGTCGATATGCATGTACTGTACTGTAAATGAGTATCATGTCGATCGGTTTCTGGTGTGCACCTAAACTTGTACAGCACTTTAAACAATTGTGCGTGTAGTTGTTACACGTTCGAATATCATTGAAAGATGACCGTAGGCCAATCACATGAATCCCTACAATGTCCGTTATCGTGTCGCTATAATCGCTTGGAAATTTTAAATTTTTACAATTTTAACTGTATGACGATTAAATAGAATGAAGAAATATTCTTGATAAGTCTAATTTCAAGTGACGAGGAAAAAGCGAACATCTTTTCTCGGAATGACTTAGATCTCTCTTCACTTTATCATATTCGAAATAATGATTATCCGTCAACTTTTAAATTTCCAATCTGATCTTTCAAGTAACGAGGAAGAAGCAGGCATCTCTTCCGGGAACTCAAACCTCTCTTAATCGAAATGATAATTATCCGCCACCAACTTATCGGATAGCGTAACCCGATCAAAAAGCCGATCAATGGCACAGTTATAAATAGTCTTTTTTTTATAATTCTATGAAAGCCTATAATAAAAGTTATAAGATTTAAAAGATAGAATGGCAAAATTAAATATTTCTTGATTGGTAAATCTATCTTTATTTTCAAAACAAGTATCTTTAATTAATAAACTTATCTTTTAAGAACTATTGGCTTAAGAATAATAATCTGAGTTGCTAATAAAAAGTATTGTAATAAGATTATCAAGAAAAGTAACATTGAAAAAAAATAGTTAAATCAAATCCTATATAATTTTTATTTAAGCTTATTATAATATTATAGAAGTTTGATTTCAACGAAATGTATTTGTTAATTTAATTTCAAATATTATAAATAATATAATTATTTTTTTTTCTTTTTAATTTAATTTTTTTTTATACTAATAAAATATTTTAATTAAAAAAAAAACCAGTTATATAGTTTTATAATAATTTATATTCAAAAATTATGCATTTCTTTTTAAAAAAATTTTTAAAGAATTCAAAAAATAAATTTCAAATAAAAGTGTAATTAAAGATTAATGTTTTTTAAATTTGTATTTTTTTATAACAAGCAAAAAAAAACTATTTGAATATTTATAAATAAAAATTTATTGTTTTTTATAAGAATAAATAAATAAATTTTTATTATTATTTTAGAAAAAAAAATTTTAAATTGTCGAAAAAGAAATATATTAAATGTAAAAAATTTAAAATATTATAATTGTATTAATTATTTTTATAAAATTAAGTTTTATAAATTAATATAGATATATTCAAAATACCATTATAACCATTAACATATATTTAATATATAGTATCTATTGTAAATTTGACTTTAATATTAAATCATTAATAATCTTTTAGAATTAATAAATTTTTTTATATTATATTAAAATAACTTTAATAAATTTATTATAAATTAAAAATATTAATAATTGAATTAAGTTCTTATTTTATTTGATTTTTATAAATAATATTAAAAAATATTTTTTGAGAGAATTTTTTCTGTAGATAAATATCATTTCTTTATTTGATATTGTATATAATAAAGTATATATTATGAAAGAAACAACATCTCTTTTATTATTTTAGAAAAGTTTAATGCTAGCTTGCCTACTTAGTTATTATCTAACTAATATTATAAAACATTTCAAAAGCAATATTATAGTACTAGATAAAATTAAGTAACAGCTATGCCTATTAACTTAGGAAATTTGTGAAATCTTTTGATTTTTTAAATACATAATGGTTGAAAAGAAAATAAATATAATTGTAACTAAAACTATATCAAACAAATTATAAAATCTATAAGTAGAAAATCAATTATTTCCTCAAGAAAACCCTCAAACAGGCTTATAATTCCATCTTTCCAGCTTTTTGATTATCATAAATAATAAAGTATATGTGAAGTTATTTGTTGTTATAATTGTTAATAAACATGTGATTGATATTGTTATTGTCTTGGAAAAGTAAAATGAGAATTGTACCAATTTAGACTTGAAGTGAACAGAATGTTTCTATAAAATAAAAGAAAATAGAAACAGAATAGAGCTTCAAAAAATACCAAACTGGTATTGAACTGATATCAAAATGGTATTGATCTATAGTAAATTTAATATATGGGTTATGATCTACTCATATATTTTTATAATAAATTTAAGTATTGAACTGGTATTGAAGTAATATTGAAATGATATTGTTAAGAGCCCTAGAACAGAATAAAGAAGAATAAAAGAAAATAATAAAAAAAATATTAAAGAAAATCAAAAGAAAATAAAATTCATAATCAAATATATTAAAACTTTCAGTTTCTCTCTTAACAGACTTCAAAATTACTAATAAAAATAAATTTCAATCCTCAATAATTTAATTTATTCAACATATGTTTGTTTCAAGTCAATTCATAAATTTTTCTTTATCATGATGATATTTACTGTGCCATTCCAAATTCCTCAATATT